GAGCCCTCCCTCCCCAGGACCCGAGCCCTCCCTCCCCAGGACCTGAGCCCTGCTCCTGGCCCGCTCCTCAAAGACTGAGGAAAGAGACCAGAACCTTGCAACTGCTAAAAGAATACATCGGGCAACACTGTATCCAATACGTTCAGACAATTACTTCCTTAACAAGACCCTTCCCCTTTAGGGTCTTAAGAAGATCAAGAGGCAGTAAATGTGAGGCCATCAAATTAAAAAGCCTTGGACAGCAAAGGAAAGGATAGAAAGTGTGAAGCGACAAGGCTGTCACAATGGACAAAATCTTCCTTAGCTGTTCCTCTGACAGGGGACTGATATCTGGAATATATAAATGACAAAGCAAAACAAACATAGGAACAAACAAAAACATAACCCCAAGCTGGGCATGGTGGCACACACCTGTAATCCTAGCTGCTAAGGAACCCCAGGCAGGAGGACTGCAGAGTTGGCCTCAGCAACTCAGGGAGGGTGTGAGCAATTTAGTGGAACCTGTCTCAAACAAACAAAAAGAATTTTAAAAGGACTGGGAGGCTGTGGTTGTGGCTCAGAAGTACATTGCTCACCTAGCAATCACCTGCCTGTGGCACTGGGTTGTATTCTCAGCACCATATAAAAATAAAGATATTGTGTCCACATATAACTAAAAAATAAATACTTTTTTAAAAAAGGACAGCGGTTAGGCATCAAGTATTAAGCATTTCTGGGTTCTATATCTAGTACCCTAGTACCAAAAAACGAAACAATACACACACACACACACATACACACACACACACACCACAAATAAATCGAGTACCTGAATGTGCATATAATTTTCATGATTTGGGGAAATTTCTGTTTTTAGTTTACTAAATAGTTCCTTAACATAAACTGAGCACCTATGTTGTACATATGGTTCTCCCAGGGAGTCAAAGGCAAAGAAAGCCTTCCCTTTCTTTAAAAAGCCAATCATCCCAGTGTGGGAGTCAGAGAGACAACATTCTGTCCACATCTGGTGGAATTCTTCTGTAGCCAGAGCCTTTTGTAAATATAGGTTCATAGATCTGGGACAGGTTGAGAAAACATGTTAGCAGATGACATTAAACCCACCCCTGAAGAAATATTGCTAGTAGATCTGGTGGGAAAAATAGTGTAAATGTTGAGATGATCAGGAGCTAGTGCCAGTATGCAAACTGGTGTGGGGACAGCAAGCAGTCCAAGAGAGTAAACCATAGTCCTTTTGGGTCAGCTTAATGAGGAAGAAGATCAAGAGTTTCCCTGAGAGCAGGAAGATAAAAGACAGTTTCATGGAGACATACTGACTTCCAGAGAAAGTTCACCAGGAAATCTCCTGAAATTCATTGTCTGGAAAAGGAAAGAAAAGCCCACTGAAAGAGACAGGGATAGAAATTAAAATTGTTTGACTATGCTGTGCTTGGTGGCACAAGCCTATAATCCCTGTAGTTCAGGATGTTGAGACAGAAGGCTAAG